TATCAGATCTCTGGTGTTCATTATGTGTTTGGTACCTTCTCTGTAAAGATGTAGGGCACAGCAGTCGTTAGCTAAATGCTAATGCTAGTATGTATGTTTATCATATTCACCATCTTAGTTTAGCATGTGAGTATGCTAACATTTGCTAACTGAACCAACTGATCGTGATGCTCGAGAATAAGTTAAGGGATCAAGTCATTACAGTCATCCACAGGGGATCGCAAATATCTTTACCAAACATCGTGGCAATCCGTTTAGCGGTTGTCAAGACATTCCATTTAAAACCACAAATGTCACTAAAGAAGTGTTCCCAGTCGGAAACCATCAGTGTCCATACAAAACATTGTGCTAATCCAGGTAGTAGATGATAGACTAAGATACAACTTTGACCTGCTGGTGGCCCTAGACTAAAATCCAGGGGATTACCAAAAAACGTGGGATTCATCAACACAACCATAAATGTCTGTGATTGAGAATTTTAAGTAATTAACAGATTAATGAAATGAAAATGAAAGAAATCTTCGCAGCCCAAGCAAATGTCTTTGAGAATAAGCATCACTCAAATGAAATGATGAGGGTCTTAAGGGTGGCCTGCATTACTACCTCCCTTGTCTCCCTAAACAAACATGGGCCATATTCCTGAATTTGTGTTTAGCTTATTGCACTAACTATTGTTTCTATCTATTAACTTGACTTCCTTGATTAATTCATTCACTCCTTGGTCTATAAAAAGTCATATATCATAAATGAACTGAACATTAGCTCTGGGATGGAGAATGGTTTTAGGATGAAAGGTGTGTTTTCATTTTTGATTGATCTACTGATTCATTTTAAATCTGTCTCTCGGACTAATCATTAAACCTACAAAATGTCAAAAGTAATGTCAAATATCCGCACTACCTTGAACAAAGTCTTACATCCTCTGTGTAACCCTTCCTAGGCCGTGCACGGAGCAGGATGAACAGCACGCCGCCTCCTGTGTCTTTAAGAAAGCCTCGGTGCCCATGCTGTTACCAGGGCAACTAGTGAACAAACTGCTTCCGAGGCAATTTCCAGTCTAATAATAACTAATCGCACTGAATGAAAATTCACCACAAAGACACTGCCCTTTCCCCAAAGAAAGTGGGGCACGTTTGAGTCACTGGGATAGTGCTGTGATTTTCACACACACTGCAGGCTGGCTGTGTCCAGCTGCAGCCACCGTGTAAGGGAACTCAGATTCAGATTTTTGGACTGGCATGCAGCACCTTCTCCACGGGGCCTGGTAACCATGGAGACGCCATTGACAAGTCTAATATGTTAAAATATGTTAATATGAGCAATTGTTGGTGCAGGGGTGCCTGTGGGTGTTATCATCTGCTAACATGATCTTAAATCCCACTCACCATGTCATGTACATCAGCCCACATCTCATCACCACCATCTTAATGCACAGGTTGGCACAGTGCTGTCCTTCCTGTGTGCATGTCACATAACACAAACAGCCTCCTTCTTGGTGTAAAGTGAATAAAGACCCCACCAACACCCCCCACCAAAAAATCCCTACTATTAATAAGACTATAATAACCTTTTGCAGAATGGCTTTGGCATGTCGAGACGGAGAGAGGGAAGGAGGGGGAGAGAGAGAGGGAGGATCTGTTGATATGTATGACAATGACGCCCTTTGGAAAAAAAAAAAAAAAAAAAACAGCTGATGCATTCACATAAAACCCCACAAAAACACACCGTCCCCGATACCTTTAACGTCAACGAAGTCAAGGGAGGTTGTCGGACTTACCATTTCGGGATTTAGCCGTGCTAAAATGGCGAAGGTGGACAGTCTGTCACACACGCATTTGGTTCTGAATGAGTCGACTAGCACGGCTTTGCAGCCCCTGGCAGACCAGGATCCCAGCAGTGAGGAGCTGCACAGGAGAAAACACACACACACACACACACACACCGCACACAGACAGAGAGACAGGCACACACGCATACACACAGAGAAGCGATGCGGTGAATATAGAGAGAGCCCCGGCCAAAAAAAAAAAGCAAGAGAAAGCGTTTGAAATCCCACGTTACACCGGCTATTAAATCCACTTTACATCTCCGCCGGTTGCAGGAGAAAGCGCAGGGAGCGAAGTGAACGCGGTGATGAGGAGGCTGTGAGGCGGCGTGCTGCAGGTCTCTGCCTGGAAACATTATCCCTACACACTGCTAACAGCCCCAAAGATGTATTATTACTATCATCATCATCATCATCATTATTATTATGATGTAAGAAATAGTGATAAAGTAGGCCGACTATTAGTAAACTGGTAAAATGGTACTAAACATAATTAACGCAGTTAATTTATAAATAGCCCAAGTATTACACATAATTATTATCAGTGGTTTTTATTTAATAACACCCGTAATTTAATAATTATAATAACAATAATAATAGTCTTTGTAAGCCGAATAAAAAACGTTAGGTCTACACTAGCCATATGATGTGGCGCTGATGGATGCTGGGAAATGGGTGCTACAAATGGTAACCTGGTCTACTGAGACATTTTTTTTCGTTAGTGCATTCAACAAACACAAATCCTGAAAAATGATGAGACTTGTGGTTCCATAGTAACAACCAATCACACCAGCCACAACTGACAAAAGATCATATCATAGTAGAAAATAACACAGGTGTAAGTAACAATGCAAGGCTTATAATAATGGCTGCATTCCATTTCGGGTTACCAGTTTCAGTCTATATTATTGTGCATGTTGGCCCACTAGCATGGCTCACTGAGATACTTCAATCCAATGGAACCATCATTCCTTATTAATTCCACATGTGCTTTCCAGCTATGATAATTTAAAATGTCTTTAAAGAGAAATCTTCATTTCTGGTTTGGACATAATGTTGTGGGGATTTTGAGAAAGGAAAGAGAAATCTCCACAGGTCATTGGAAAGAGTTCAGTGTCTGCTACTGCTAATCTGAACGTTTCCATGTGTGTTCTGAAAAGGCACTGTGGAAGCTTTTTACTGCCAAATAAAAATAATGATTACACGTTTTGAGATTGAGTCAAGATTTAGATTTCTCATAATTTAAATCAATTATTTAATTCAATTAATTTTGAGAGGATTTTGACCAAAAGCATTAGCCTACTTATCATTATAATAATTCACTTTATCATTTACATTTGTTTTTTTCCCCCTTTTCCTGGCGGACATCTTGCAATTAGACAGAAAAACTCTATTGACTGGGCTCCTGACACACAGGCCGTACATTACTCTGCTTCAGTGCACAGAGAAATTAAGCAAATATGTCAAATTGATGAAAAAGAAACCATGTGCTTTGAATTAACAACAGGCAGCAACAGGGTACAGAATTAAATTCTCCTCGCCCACATTTACACCGACTTGATTGACTTGAATTTACATCGACATGATTGAGCAGCACGCGGGTTTTGACTCAAACTTGTACTCCGGCCATAGAATCCAAATTCATTTGTCAGGCGCTGACAATAGCGTGCACTTTAAATGTCGATCTTCAAGCTGCCTTTTGAAATTAAGCTCTGGAAAATCTTTAGACTGAATTCGGGTCTCAAATAGACTAATCAAAAAAAAGCAAAAGGCAATGAGTTGATTATTTATGTAAATGTTGTTGTATGGGTCTGACTCAAAGAATTCCATTTCATTCTAACTTTAGAGTATTACTGACTTCATGGGAGTGTGTCAGGTCCTCTGGTTCAAAGATTTCTGGGAGTATTCTGCACTGATTATATCATATCATGTAAGTCGCAACCAAAATGTGACGGAGCCATAGCACAACTGGAACACAATGAACCCGTGCGGTGAACATGAGAGCTAACCTCTACAGATATCTGGTTCAAAATCAGGATTCAATGCAATGGGGTGACAAATTAAGGGAAAACCAACATAAAGTGTTTTAGAAAGTGTATTTGCAACATGAGCCTCCAGATCATCTTCAGTGCTTATCATAGATTGAACTCTACTGGAGGGATAGGCAGCAGTCAAAAGATATTCCTTCATTTGGTGCTTTGATGATGGTGTTGGAGAGGCTGTCTAACCAGAATCTCCCATAGGTGATCAGTTGGGTTGAGATGTGGTGACTGTGAAGGCCATAGTGTATGATTCACACGATTTTCATACCCAGTGACATCATCAAAACATTCAGTGAACCCCTTATGAGCTGTATGGAAGACTGCATTTGTTACGTTTCCACTTAGTCAGGTGATTTCTTTCATTTGTTGTCCGTCTATGCAAAACCCCAACAACAGCAACAACCATAACAACAGAAAAGGTAATGAGGGCAACAGATTAGCAATAATATTTAACAATCACAACCTCACACAGCTACTGGTCTCATATCTTCTTAGACAGAAATACAGACTACATACTGGGTTTGGTCGCATGTGTTTGTGTGTGTGGTGTGTTTGTGTGTGTTAGCCCCACGAGGTGACTCAGTGCTGACATTAGCACATCACCTCTAACAGAAATCCAATATATTAGGAGGACTCTGTATGGCTGATGTGATTAGGCCTCTGTGAGCCACACAGTGGCCTGCAGACAGTCTTGCCCTAGAGTCTAATTGGATAATTTAGGTGCTGGTCCAGCAGCCCTGCATGGAAGGATGTCCTCTGCCAGGAACAGGCCACATGGATGAAAAGCAGTCTGCCAGCACGGAGGAGATATCTAAACATGGGCTCTTATGCAGAAAGCTGTTAGAAGGAGGATTCCTGCTTCATGTTCACTGGTCGGGTTACAAAATGATTGATGTATACCTATTGGGATTATCTGTGATATAACGAAATTCAAAGATTAAGACTGAATATGTTTGATCTTGGGCAGTTCAGACAATATCACTGTTTAGGTGACAAAGCTATGTACTGCTGTTTAATATGGACAAAATAACTATGAGTCTTAACATTGGGTGAACATTTAGACTATTAATTTAATGAATTTAATTTGAAGAGGGATTTTGGGGAGTAGGATGCATGATGTCGAATGGCATCATGGGAATTGTTGTAACCAGAGTTTTTGAAACCTGACCCATACACTAGCTACTTTAGGACAGCTCTTTTACATATTTACTCATTGTTACATTCTATGCTGTTTTTATTTCTTTTAAGAGACCACCTAGCAGCTAAAGAGCCAGATGTTTTTTCCAGGAGCTGGTGGAGACCAAACAGAGCTAAAAGGGGAGTGAATAGTGTATTTACACAAACATGACTCCAGCTGAATGCTAATGTTGCTCTGTTCCTGCAACCAACTGTAAAAGGTGATAATGACTTATAATAATGTGATGTTTAAAGATTATCACGCTGACCCCGAGAGGCAAGTTAATGCAGGTTTGATATTTGCTCATCACAGCTGTAATAAAGGCAGATATGTCAAAGCCCACAGTAGGTGAGTCCAGCCAGTTTTAAATGAGAGGATGCATCAGTAAAGCGCCTGACTAGGCAAGCAGGTTTAGCTGGATTGTGACTAGATACTGAGGGGAAAACTTTTAGAAATTCTTTAAACTCTGACACATGGTGTTCTGTTCGTAGACTAAAGTCAGTCAGATGTAGGGCAACATTTTCAGAGTATTTCTCAATGTCCTGTGCTTTCAAACAGCTGGTGAGTTGGCTGGCATATGAGTTTGAATGGATTAGCGTGCTCTGAATATAAATACACTAGAATGGGTGCAGTCTGTTCCCTGTAATGCAGCCTCTTTCTATTCAGAAGTACTTGTAAACAAACATGCCCCCCGTCTACTGAACTTCACCTCCTCTTCTATAATTGTATTACAGTAATTGATGAAAACTCCACTTTAGAGTGGTCAGCTCCAACATCCTTGATGAATCGAGGCAGCTCCTCAACATCAGCACTGAATCTGTAAACTAACTGAGACAGCAAGGTTGATTTGTATGATCAGAAGCGAAGCTAGTTAGTGACTGCAGTCTGGTAAACAATGTCCAGCCTACGCACAACAACCTCCTCTAAATCAATCCCAAAAAATGTCTTTTGACCTGCCTTGCAGAGACGCTTTGATGTCATGCATGTTCGATTTGTTTTCTGTTATTTGAACAGAACTACCCATCTCTGGATTTAACATTTTTTTAAGTATCTGGCCTGCTTTGACCGCTGACAGAATCTATGCAATATTGCAGGGATGTTAACTGCAAGCAGCACTGACAGCAACACGTGGATGATGAGGGGAAGTGACTAAATGAGTTAACAATGCACAGACTTTTTTTTTGGTCAGAAACATTCGGGGCGGATCTCCAACCATTAGATAGAGTGATTAATGGAGTTACATATAAATGCTGTCCAACAAAAATGTTATTTTTTCCCCTGAAGTACTACAGTACCATTTCTGTATCAGTATACTGGCTTGGGTAAAGGAGTGCCAGGGATGATCCACATCTGCAAATCAATGTTTTCAGTCACATTATACATATCTTACTTGAAAGATGGTGACTGCCAGACACCAACAATATGTGAATTTGGTTTAAGATTAGAATCTTGATAAGAGGGTACATTAAAGAATATGACATGACGGAGTGTCAATGGGCTTTCAACACTAATAAGGGATGAAGGACTTGTTAATGGCATATGTTAAAATTGCAGCTCCTTGAGAGTCTCCAAAGATTGATGCTGCTGTATGGGCCCAACTTATTTTTCCTCTGCAGAGAAATGGCTGGTTTGTACACCCGGCTAAGATCTGATCACTATGCGAGCCAGATCGTGTTCCAATAGCAATGTGTGCTGTGGCATTGTTTTTCCCTATCCAGATCAAACATCCAGCTGCTGATCACACGTATGCTGACATTATGAAATGAAACTGGCTTAAAGTTATATTACCGTAACAACAAATTACCGAGTATTATTCAAGTGAGCCATGAGCCACTGCAAATGAACGGAATCCTGTCAATTCTACAACAAAGTTTAGGGTTAGGTTACAGTGTTCAAAGTCAACAAACTATATGTTGGTTCTCATTCCTTTGAAAAAGATTTTGTAGTCTTTCAGCAGACACTACCTTTACTTCCTATCATTAAAAACAGAATATTTAAATATTTATCATGAAGGGGCATCTGTTGGTCTATGGGTTTAGGGAACTGACCATTTGCTGCCATGTCTCAGGCCGGGGACCGGCATTTGCATCTTGTTTCCCGTCTCTCTCTTCCTTCATTTCCTGTGCATACAATGATCCAAAAATGATCATGAAAACTGTTTATAATTAACAACCACGAAGTCTAATGGGAAAGTTGCAGTACCAGACACTTGGTATATTCCTATAAGAGGGGGGTTGGAATTGTCAGTATTCTCTTAGACTGCACTCTCACAGCAGACTGATGCCAAATTACCTTTAGTTCAAGTATTTATAGCACATCAGGTGAGGCATACTGTTAACAGTACTTAGTAATGATGTCAGTGTGAGTGTGAGTGAGAGTGAGAAAGACAGAAAGACGCTGCTGATGTTCTTGTTATTGATTTCAGGAGATTGAAGTGTGGTGAAAGTGAAGGCCCAGGCTGCTTCACAGCTCTTATCAAAATGACAAGGACACCTCCTCAGTTTCCAATTTCTCTCCCAAATATTAACTCATTAATCATAGCTGCTGTCCAAGATGAATTTTAATTTTGCATAGAAAATGTCTCCCCCCCCAGGCCCAACCCCCAACCCCACACCCAAACTCAAAGATATTAGATTCTTTGTCCTTGCTATGTGTCTGCCATTGTCTCTCCTATTATGTTGTCTCTTACGCTGATGTGGATGGTGATGACATCCCAGATGTGACCAGGGTCAGAATTATCCAACATGTATAGAATGTTCATAATATATCATTTTAAAATTTTCATTAAAACTGCTTTAGACACAATTTTGAAGCGATATTAGATACCATATCCATCCATCCATCCATCCATCCATTGTCAACAGCTTAACCTTGCGTACATGGTCGCGGGGTAATAGATACCATATGTTCTATAAATAAGTAAATAAAGAGTTAGATAAAAGCAAACAAATATGTGCTGGGCAAAAACCACTTAAGGTAGTGAAACTGCTATAGTGACTCACAAGGTATTTTTAGCATAAAATGTACATTTCCACAGCAGCATCATATAAAACTGAATTTCAACTACTGAATCTCAGTCACTTCTGCTATAATGTTACGCTACGGTCAATGAATCTCAACACTTCCTGCAGCTCCTTTAAAACAAAAAACGACCGGAAAAGGCAGTGAGACATGTGAGCTAAAATACTGGTGAGCTTTTAATGTGAATTGTCTGTGCTGAGTTTAACTAATGTTATCTTAACACCAATCGAAAAATATTCAACAATTAATGTTGGTCATTTTGCCAACAAGTTTATATCACCTACAGGGCACAAGCAAATAAAGACTGTTTGCTAATAAAGCCCGGGTGCTGTTAGATACTTCTCAGCCCGTCTCAACACTACTCTGCTTATGGCTTGATGGACAGGTTTTAGCTCCTTGTGGAAGACGTATATCCATTATCGTCCCATAGCGCATTCACTTTGGTCAGGTGATCTGGCTCTCTCATCCCTGGTACACATGAAAACAGGAGAAAGAGCCTGTCAAGGGAGTCACACCTGCAGGTCGAGAATGAGAATGGCCCTTTTATTTTTTAACCTAATATTGCTATACTACACATTTAAATATATTATGTATTAATGTAATATAACATAATGTAATAACTAATCTAAATTTGTTAAATCTGTGTACATACATACTGATGGTAGGTAAGTCAGGTGGCTCGGGGTGCCACAAATTTCCTTTAAAGGTGGGCCGTGGTCTAAAAATGTATGGGAACCACTGCAATTGACAGCTTTTAATGTGGAATGTCTGTCCAGGAAGTGTTGAGTTTCACGTATGGAAAAAAAGTAGGACCAATTGCAAATATTTTGTGAACAAAACAGCATTTCTTTAATGTAAGCCTTCATATAAAGGCCTAGTTCTCTTTGCAGTTAGGGTAAAAAAAAGCCTCTCAGCAGCAATTAAGTGTGAATGAATGTAGACATTGTCTCAACTGTCATTTTTAAGCTATAGCAGGCTGTCTTTCACTCTTTGTCTTGGCGCATATAGACCTGCAGGTATATGTGCCAAACCAACCTCTTTTAATCCCTTGACTGAGGCGATGAATGTTCTGCTCTTCATCTCTGTAACACAAGTGTGGGTACCCATCTAAATGCAAATGTCCAAACCTGCATTGCAATAAGACTGCAAAATGTTTGCCTCTTTCTTTCTCCCTCTCTCTTTCCCTCACTCAATGCTCACGCTCTAACACGCTCACACTATTTTCTTGTCTTAAACAAATTGGGCACTTAAGAGCAAGGATCAAATGAGTAGTGCTTTGAATTTAGCCACAGAAGCAATAAAACGTAACTGTTCAGAAGGTTGTTTTTTTTACTCCTTTTCTATCCTGTCATGCTTGCCAATCGCGTTCTCTCTCTCGCTCTCTCTCTCTCTCTCTCTCTCTCTCTCAGTAGACTCCGAATTGCTCTTTATCGTACATGTTGATGTGTGTGCGTGGGCTGGGAGGGGGAGGAAAGCTGTGAGCGACACTTTTAATTTTCCACATGCTGCATCAGTGTCGTAGCAGTGATAGCATGGGGTTAGCGTTTTCCCAGACAAGAGCTGCGGAGCTGTCCAACACACTCAGCACCTTTCACTGGGGAGCACTGCACTGACTTTGTCAAGATAAAAAACAGTGTGGCCGGCCATTGAACCTTCAGAGGAAACTCCAAAACATCCACCTGGAGTTGCAGGAAGTACATATGCGCTATAGTTGCCAGTTTGACTAGTTGTGTATGTGTGTTTGTGTGTGTGTGCTTGTGTGTGTGGGGGGGGACCTGATATGAGATAATTATTTGAACAGATTATGTTTATTCACCATAAATTACAAAACTCGTAATGTCATTTTATGACATGAAATGTTTCTAGACAATTTGAAGCTTAGATAGTTGCCCTTAAAGCAAATAAGTCTGGCATTGGGCCAAGTTTTTTCAAGTCATTAGATCGGCCAGAACAAAGTCAATTTATCATTTATAATCCGGCATTTACCGTGTGCCTGTTTAGCTCAGTCTGTAGTAGGGTTGTGTGTTCAATCCCTACTTGTTGCTAGTGTTATCTTTATCCCTTTTCAACAAATTGATTATGAAGAGATCGTTTTAAATGTTCACATTAAGCACATGCAGCAGTGTGTTACCCCCCGCTTATTTTCATCTTTAGGCACAAGAAATTCCTGCGATTCTCATTCAGGGGAATCCAATCTCACATTTTCTGACGGCTTTTTCAGAGGTGTGTCAAGTAAGCCAGAGACTCTTGAATTTCCTTAAGAACTTTTCAAAGTAAAAGCTCACAAAATAAACACGACATAAAGTACTGCTACAAAGATGTTCTCGCACTTTTGTTTTGTAGGCACAATCACTTAAGAGCAAGTGATTACGTGAGTAACTTTTACTGTCATGACTGAGATCTGTTTCAGTACCAGTCACTATAATGTTGTTGTTTTTGTTTGCTGCTATGAAAGTAATCTGGCCACAGGCCAAATATTATTGCTGGTGGGCCAGCTTTGGCCCGCGGGCCGCCTATTGCGAACCACTGCCTTAAAGATATGATATATACGATGTTACATCATACTACGTATATCACATAATATAAAATAGGTAAACTGACCAAAAATCTAAATTCTACCTAAATTTTGTGCAAATCTTACCAGACTTTCCAGAAAGAGTTAATGCATGTTTCTATTCACTGAATGTGTGACTATTAGAAGTTGGACATTTAAACATAAAGAGTTGGTGTTGATTCTCTATTTGTTGGCCATTAAATTATTACCAGACAACCACTTAAAATAGTGCCAGTCAAACCTCAAACAATGGAAGACAATGTAGGAAACGTGAAATATGACTATTATGTTTGTCAATGTATTCATCTGTCTCCTCATGCTCCACACTGATCAGATGTTAAAAAATGCGCATTAAATCATGTGAAAGAAGAAATTTATAAAGATATACCATATAGTTTAGCTGAAATGTCCAGTTCCTCGTATAGGGCAAGCTCTGAAAATGATGGATCCTACATTTCCCATTACACAATCGACACGATATTGGATCAGCTTGCAAAGCAACCCAGGTCCACACATTACCGGTTTTGGTGCGAGCATGGTCAGTTGACAAATCAATGTAGTGGATCTTACCTGTCGCTCTCATCCCAGGATATACAGGTCTGGTTGGTGGTGCCCTAATGGATGAGGAACAGAAGAAAAAAATGCATGATCACCATGAAAAAGTACCAGTACTAGAACTTAATATCTCAACAGCTTTCTACATGAAATTTCTTCAAGACAAAATTCACTCACGTTGTACAGGTGAGAGAACTCAACTACTACTGGAGCAGAGAGGGAAGCAGGAGTGGGCTTGATGGTCACTGACAAAACCTTGGAGTTGAGGACTGTGCTGTTTCTAGAGGGACAACAAAAGACATCGAGCTAAATGTGAGCTTGAGCTCACAATGAGATTGCTAACAAACTGATATACAGCAAGTACAATGTTTAGCGTGTTCACCATCTTAGTTTAGTGTGTTGGCATGTCAGAGGAAAAAAGGTCATTAGGGAACATAGTCTGGGAACCATTAATCTCTGTTCCAAATAGCTGATCCATCTAATGGATGGTTTGACTGGATATATTAAAACTTTGACTTTCTTGGAATCAACAACATTATTAGGATTTATCCCATGAGGACCATGAGTGTACCTAAAATAATTATAAACATTTGAGACTCTAAGCCTTACATGTCAACCTGCCAGAGGCATTAGTTCAAAACTTAAGTGCTCAACAAAATCACTAGGATGCACACGTCGGGATCCACAGTAAGATGGCCAGTGTGGCTAAACATTTCAGAAAAACAGGTTTAGGAAGACGATGTCATCCATAGAAAACCCTATAAAAGGCAACATGTCACTGACATTGCCCTTATTGAAGTAAAAGTCACACACCTGTCACAAAATGCTAAAGCATTTCATTAGAGCCACTTTAAACAGTAACAGTTTGTCACTGACCCTCAACTGCTTAAACAACAATAAGATATATGACAGATAACTGTCTGCCTCTGAGCTCACCAGAATCTCTGTGCTCTTCTTCAGAGCAAACATAACATCCTACCAGATGAGTAAAAGAGTCTTAAAGTTTTTTCTTGCAGCAGGCCACATTGTTTTTCAATAGCTTATCTTTTTGGGGGTTTCTATTTTACATTCACCCTGCCTGTTTAGTATGTATTGCAATTTCTGTTTTTCATAGGTACTATCAATCATGTGCAATGACACAATCGGGGGGGAAAAAAAGTGAATTGCTACTGGAAGTACTGACACCAAAAGCTTCCAGTTGGCCAAGCATGTTCAACAGCCCATGCTCTGTTTTGTAGTCCCTCACACCATCACTGTATCCTCTACGCACAATCGCCCTCTCACCATTCCAGAACACAATCAGTCAACTTAAATGTTTGTGTCATCTAGTCTCTTGCCTCAAACTCATCTCCTTTTCCTTAAGGGGGGGAATCAAACGCAGAGAAGGAGGGGAGACAAGGATGAAAAGAAGAACAGCAGCAGCAATCCAAAGATTCAGAACAAACATGTAGAAAGACTGGAGAGACGGTCTGCTTCCTTTCCCTGTTTCCATATGCTACCAGTTTATCACTTTTACCACATTATCACAATGGAGAGCTCCTTACCATCGCAGCCACAGATAACAGGCTGTTACTAACCGAAGCGTGCGCACACACACACACACACACACACACACGTAATTACAGAGCTAAACGTACACTGCTGTGTTAAAATGTATGTTAATCATTATGCGAGCAGCAATAGCAACTTCCTCAAAGAAATCCCTTTACTCACGCAGATAAAAGACATACATGAGGCCGCCCACTGCTAGTGCGCTGCTCTTCCTGCACCAGACCTTCACTGCTGTGAAATGCCTGACTCTACAGTGATGATCCATAACACCCAGCACAGTTTTGTAGCTGAACCTGGAATATGGTTAAATTGTTCCACAGCATCAGCGGTTGCATTTCCAGTATAGTATCATTTGTGGTCAGTTGGTGTGTGATTTATGGCACTAAAATACATTTTTAAACCAACTGGATGTTTTTTCATCAGAAAGATCACCAATGCCTTTGGCGTTAGAATAATTGGAGTTATTTCATGCTCTTAAGAATCCTCCTCCATCCTGGTTTGAGAGTGCGGCCTTTCAGTCTCAAGGTCCGCCCTTGATGGAGAAATTCTCAGCTGACTAAAAGTTCAATAGATAACTCCGAGTAATCTAATAGTTGATTTAACTGAAAAGTCAAACTGAATTGCGTGTCTGCTGACTATATTTCCCTCCTGACCGTGTTTATTTTAGTCTAGCATGTTTTTTGTCAGAATTTTAATCAGGATTGAACAAAAACACAGTTGAGGTTGATGGGGATGTTTTATAGCAAATGTTAGGGATCACTAAAGAGACATGGATGTTCGGCATGTCAACTAAAACCATAAATGTCAAGCTGCTGTCGGTGCTAGAGAAAAAGTCCAGGCATCATCAAAGTCAGGAGGGTTCATCCAACAGCAATCCGTCCAACAGTTGTAGAGATATTTCAGTCTGGACAGATCAACTTTGTCATCAATAGAGCCATGTCACTAGAACATACAGTATATAATGTTTCCATATCATTGAACCTGTAAGTCCATTTAATGTAACCATAGCATACAGTTCCACACAGTCAAGTGTGTTTTTTTTTTTATCAAAGATGTATACATACAACAATACATTTTGCAATATTCCTTTAAACTTTTCCTGGTACTTTCCAAAGTACTAGCAATGGCAAGAATCCTAGAACAAAAAGTCTAATCCATGCTGTTACATTCCTGTACATTATTCCTCATCACATGATCCTGCACGGCTCTGCACTGTCGAAGAAATTTTGTTACATGCATTGTCTGAACACACCTCTCAAAAATCCCCTGATATTGACTGACAAGGCTTCCAACCTTTCAGATGCAGTTGTAAAGCAGCCAGCAGTCTTACCTCTGCAGAGTCAGAATGCTGCCCAGGTTTCTGTACAAAACGATGCCGGTTACAAACGTCGAGGACTCGTCTGAATCTGTGTTGAGGAAGAAACAGAGGTAAACACATAGAGTAAGGAGGTCAAAGTCAAAGAATGTTTAGAGAATGTTTAGTTCACTCTCTGTTAGTACAGTGGCCTGCTATAGAGAGAATGCAGGTCCGCCATGCTGCCTCCGCTCCTCCAGTCCCCAAGAGCTCTTTACACTGGAGCTGGCCTACATGTCTAGTCAGCTATAAACACTGTCTCTTACACTGCTTTACAGTGTGTCATACACACACACACACACACACACACACACTCTCTCACACATACATGCAGGCACAACTGGCACCACTAATTTCCATAATCTCCATAGTGGCAGATAGTAGCAGCACAGTCTGACACTGTCCTCACCCTGGGAAAACACTTCAGGAGTGGAGGAGTAAAGAAACTCTGGCCTAGCTGAAAAGTCTCTGGGGCATATTGACAAAGAACAGATTGCTGCTGATGGCACCATGAACTGTGCATCACTTTCAACCACTGCCCCGTCTCAAAATCCAATTCACAACAGGTATTGCATAGCACACGACATGAAGCAACATTTGGGTCAAAAAATGTTATAAATGTAGCTGCAGGAACAAAACTTTCCACTCATTTTTTAAAATGTTTCATTTGAAAGAGTTTATTTATACCTATTCTAATGCTCTATTAACACCCGTCTGATCTTTCATTAATTTCAAGCTGTGGGATGTCTCTCTCATTTTTCTGTGACTCACTCTGTATTGAGTGTTCAGTCAAAGTGATTGTTTTTAGGGCGCTGTAACTGTGCTCTCTCCCTCATGCCTCTCGGTGCATGGAGAGCTGTTTCCTCTACTCCGCTCTGTGCTGGACTGTTACAACGGGTAACCATCATCTTCGCTTCTCACAGCAGCAGGTTTTATGTTGTTTTCTAGTTTCATTCCCTCGTGGTGAGTATCAGGCATTGTACTGTGTGTGCCATCTGTGCGCATATGATGTACTGTGATGTGCTATCTCTGTGCCTGGCAACAGTCACTGCTGCTATGATCACTGGTAAGTCCGGGTGTGACACCACTTTTAAATGCACTTCAGTTACCACCAACTCTCTGAAGACGCTAATATTTCCACTCTGTGCGGCAATTGGTGCTGGTTAACTGGACTTTTTTGTTTTGCTATGAGGCTAATTTTGCATAGGAAGCGACCAATTGAATTGTGAATATTACCTCTTTTAAATACATGCAAATAGCATGAGACACTATTTGCTTGGCAGCGCCAAGTCTGCCAACTCTAAGAACTTTGAGCTCCGCTGTTCAGGTCTGTTTAGGAGTATATTTCTATATTCATTTAAAATTTATATAACACTGAACATTGTGCAGGACTGCTAATCAACAACCTGGGAGTGGACATTGACAATAGACTGGGCACAGATCACCCAAGCGCTCTACAGGAAGGGTCAAAGTCGACTCTTTTTTCTGAGGAGGCTGAGGTCCTTCATAATCTACAGGACGATGCTGAGGATGTGTTATGAGTCTGTGGTGGCCAGTGCTATCCTGTTTGCTGTTGCATGCTGGGGCAGCAGCCTGAGGGTAGCGGACGCCAACAGTCTCAACAAACTGATCCGCAAGGCCAGTGACGTTGTGGGGGTTGAGCTGGACTCTCTCTGTCGGTGGTGTCATCATCACGGACAGTGTCTCCCACCCAACCTAACTCCTCCCTGGCTGACACACGTTAGTTAGTTATTATACTGGACATTATTACCTGTTTTGTGCAATATTATCTGTTTAATAATTAATGTACAATATTCTCTGCTGCTATTTATTTATTCACATTTATTCATTTAGCTGGCGCTTTTATCCAAAGCGACTTACAATTGCTATACATGTCAGAGGTCACACGCCTCTGGAGCAACTAGGGGTTAAGTGTCTTGCTCAGGGACACTATGGTGGACGTCTCACAGTGGGAATTGAACCTAGGTCTCCCACACCAAAGGCAAGCATCTATGCGCCATCACCACCCGGTGACATAACAGTATTACTGTTCACCATAATAATTCTTTAATACCATAATGATTCTTTAATAATGTAAATACTGTAAATACCCACACTCCTTTATATTTGTCTTTATATCTTACATTTATACTCTCATATTTATATCTCCCTCCCTACTTTCTATTATTATTTTCTATTCCTGATGCCTTGATAAGTGTGACAAATTCTCATTTCTCATTCTGATTCTGATTCTGAACTGCGCTGAACGTGGCACTGGATTTAAGTCTTGACCTGTGGAGCAGTCCAATGTGGCTCCTCTGTCAGAAATACAACAGAAGAGTAACTTGAGTATCGGTTTACAGCACAGCCAAACAAACTGTGGCCCAAAAGGATTCATGTCCTCAGAAGGAGTGCTACATCATATGTAGTACTAAACTCAAGATCAAAATACACCAACGCCAGCTGTTGTCCTCTGCATACATCTTTTCCTGCTAACTCCTTGTGCATAGTTGCATAATGTGAATCCTTTGTGGAAGCTTTAAGAGTAACAACAGTTACTGTACAATAAAATACTACATAGTGATTATGCAATCACATGCAATCACAGAATGCCAATATAATGAATGGCTTTTGGGGAAAAAATGACCCGGGTAGTGTGAAAAATGGACAGTTTAACTTTTGTTTTTAGTAGAATGAAATGAAGAATGAATGAAAATATCTTGTCCTGGCTGGCATTCCTTGTGCATAGAGATGAACTGACTGTGAGCCCGATGAACGGACCACTCAGTAAACAGTCTGATATCACTTCCATATCGTGGCTTAAGCATGGTGAAAAGGATGCCAAATCTCTGATCAGAGTTCAGTGCTTCATTGGCACACCATGGTTACATGCTCATGAGCTGCACTGGCAGCATTGTGGCGCTGGACGTCAGTGTATATGATGTGCATTTAGCCCTTTCTAAAGATAGTGAATTCACTTTCTTTTACTGACAGTTTGAACTTGAATGAGGTCTTTGCATCTGCATCATTTCCCCCTCAGGCCATCCAATGCTCAGGCTGCCACAGACACTTGAGTGGCATTTGAGCACATGCACCACTGACCCAGTCCAGAATCCATCATTTGAAATAGTGATCAGCTAATCCCAAAAGAACTACAGTACTTATAGCAGGCTGTTATTGGCTGATATTGATCTGTGCATCTCTACATGTGGCTGCAGCTCTCTGTGGGTGAGCTCCCCCTGCTGCAGTTAAGGGAAAACAGAGTGGTGCCAGCATTGAATAAATTTGTCAAAACTTGACTGCTGGACTACGTGAAGGCACAGACAGGCCCGGGGCGAGGAGGAGCCTTCTCTTTCCGACTGCAGTGTCAAAGGGGAAAAAAACACAACTCCATCTGCCGGGCCATCTGAAGACATCCAGCTCTTCTGCTCCAGCACACTACATGGCAGCCTGAGAGCACGTAGCAGTGTGCCAGGCAGAGGCTGTAGCTCCCAGGCAACAGCTGAGCTCCCATGGGCATCAGGGGGGAACCGAGCAAGATGTGTGTGTGTGTGTGTGTGTGTGTGTGTTTGTGTGAGGGGGATGAAGTGTCATGTGTCTCATCCACTCTTTGGCTGGCCCATCCAATATGCTCAGCCAGATTGTCTGTGCCCAACAAGAGCAAGCCTGGAGCGACTTTAACCAGTGATTCAATAAGTCATGTGTCTGTGTGCAAGAACAGAAACAGTTCATAGTCATGTAAATGTCCATGTACATTCGTTTGTATGATGTATGAGCAGAATATACACATACTTGTAGCCATGCAGAAGCCTCTTTACTCACATGGCTTCACAGGCTAAGCTCTGAAATACATTCTACGATTCCGTCTAACTGTTGCTTCAACACACCTAAGTTTGCACGGAAGGATTTTCATACTGGGGGCTCTTCTTAACCATTTAGTGGTGAGAGGAAGTGGACAAGAAAACCCTTTAAGAGCGAATGTGCACCTGTGCTTACCTAATATACTCCATTACCTCCTAACAGTAACACGTGCCAAGAACGGAGTAAACATCATAAAAATTTTACTTTCATCGTGCTACTCTTGTCAGATCTTATTTTGATCATGCACATAAACGTTTGCTGTATTTTGCTCACACAGCCTTTTAATGGATTTAGGTAACTAAAAATGAGGACATTTTGACTCTGTCTCAAAATTTGAATTGTGTTATTGCATTTGCATGCGAAATAGTGCTCCGTTTTTTCTTTTTCTTTGTTATGTGCTTGCAGGGAACAAGCGCGTGATATACCAGCATCTGGGTAAGCAAGGTGTCTGCTGGCATCTTTGTTGACTGCTGCTTCTTGCTTATTGAGGAGGATGCCAAGTGTGTCCCACAGTTTAACAGGTACCCCCTCAGAGGTTCCCTGTGGAGTTTTTGTGGTGTGCTATGGAGCTGTGTTTCTATGATTCGGTCCCCATTTTATTCATCTCATGCAATGCACAAGGACGCACATGCACACGAGCGTGCGGTTGATGTGATACACAGTCCTACCAATGCTCTCTCGCTGTTCCAGTGATCAACAGGTGGCAGTAACACGCCGAGCTATGCTGCAATGCGGCAACAAAGACAGTGGAGTCTGCCAGCAAGTAAACATGGATGTAAACATTGCTGGATTTAAAATGCTTAACAAATTGGCTTTGCAAATACTTTATGAGGAAGGAAATGTATTCAACACATGTTGGATTTTAAGGATAAACACAATGCGCTTTGGCGAGTAACACTGAATCCAAACATAACTTTTGTTTGTTTACAAGAAAAGTCCACAGGGCACCTTTAATACTGAGGCCTCCACAGCTGTGAGTGTGACTTCATGTGGAGAAAAATAACAAACACACTTAAAGTTTTTTGAGATTTATAATCAGTCTGAGCTGAAACAAGACCACACACATTCACACCTTCCACACACAAAAGTCAGTTACTGGAAGTTGTGGGGTGGGTATGGCAGAGGTGCATGGGGAGAAGTAAAGACGTGCCTCAAAGAATAGGCCACAGACCACTTGAGCCCTGCAGCTACAGAAAATTACAATTATGGTGTCGGTTTATTTTTTGTTATCTTATGCAGTTATTAACACAGCTTTGATTTTTGCACACAGGTGATTGCTGTCTGTCTGCATGTTTGCACACTGAAAAGAGGAGGCAAATCAGACTCTGCCTGTAGCTCCCCCCAACACTCTTTCATTTAATGTTCAGAAGCATTAAAGAAAACACATTCCTCTCTGTTCTTCTGCTGCCTTCGGAGAGTTTTTTATTTATTTATTTTATTTTAAGAAAAAGGCTGACTTCAGAACATTTCTGGAGATGTGAGAATCAATCAGTCAAGTGTAAACAAGGCATCAGAGAGCCGTTTTAATCCCTGTAAGCAAGTCCAAGCTGTATGCATAAAGAGGGCTGGCTGCTGGTGTGACATTGCCACCGTGGAGACACATCTCCCAGCTGGGGAGGAAATTGTCTCTAATTGCTCCTGATTGGCTCCTGTTGACTCCTGATTAGGAGTGACGGCCTCATTAGCATGCTAGCAGTACAGGGCTGTCTTTAATGGTCGACATCCCGACTGACAAATTACCCAACTGCTACTGAAAACTGCGTACCGAGCACCTGCCTGTAGTGAAGAGTCCAGCCCAGCTACCAGAAATGTTCTTAATAATGTTCACAACTCATGATGCAAAAACACAAATACGCCTCCCCACTTACCAAAATGAATAGGGATAGTGGATGATGCTGTAAAACTCGAGATTATAGTCAATGATAATGTTTTTGAATGTTAACCAATGATAGTTTTTAATTATTGTTCACTAAAATACTGATGCATTGCATTGCAAAGGCAACTGGAACACTAATAGTTAAATATTTTTTTACAAGTCAACAATACTATTAGTGTCACAGGAGCTGTTGACATGACAGTTCTCCTCTGGCCTACCAAGCTTAACGTGCTGCCACCTGGATAAACTGCAATGTGTCACAGATTTTACTTGTAAATATACTTTCTGGGGTGGTAAAAAGTGGTCCAATGACAGCTGTCACTGTTATGTTTTTCACATATCGTATGTCGAGCACAAACTAATTTCCATTTACCTCCATATGCGTGGTGGAAACTACCTACATGGCTAGATATGGTAACTTAGGTAATAGTGTTTTTGAGAAGGTTCCAACCTTTTGAATAAGGAAAAGTTTTTGCAGTACTGTAACGCATTTGTCCCCGAACCGTTGGTTACAGGATATTCAGTTCGGTACACCCTGTGACCCAATTTCTGTCAAAATAGTCTATTTATGTATGTCTACTACTCGCACACACAGAACAGAAGTTCTAGAGTGCAAGTTTGACCTGGAAGGTTCTGGCAGCACACCAGTTGCTGTCTACCAGCTGTAGCATGTTAGTTGTCTTAACCTGGTTAGACACGTTAGTCAAGCTCAAGTAGTGTCGCTGCTTCCGAATAGCAGTCACAGAGCTGGAGGAACTTCCCATGACATTTAGATCCACTGTATGGAAGCAACACGGTTTCAAACTGTATGCCGGTATTGTTGAACCGAAGTCTGGTGTGTCTGTGGAAACACTTCCAACATGTCACTGACGACGGCCAAACCCGATTGTAGCCTCTCACTACAGTTTCATTAAACCAAGGCTACAGAGTGCTGCAGATATTCGACCGTACTTGGTCGTAGAGAATACAGAATTTAAGCATATGGTCAAAGTGCTTGAGCCCCGCTACAATGTGCCTTCATGTGTGCATTTCAGTCTGCCCTGTATAAAAGTAGTGCAAGCTGCAGTTGTTCATGAATTATCAGCAGGTCAGAGTCTTAGGATGGATCTTCGCTGACATTTGTATTATTTAGTTTTGTCTTATTGACCTAATTCCATATTTGAGTCCCTAAGCTGTTAATATGAATAATAGCCAATGAGCCACTGTTGAATGTTAAATGTTGTTGAATATTGGTTGGCTTGGATGAAGATCTTCAACCATGTCCAGTTGCTCTTGACTTTAACCCTCTTTGGATAACTATGACCTGGATGACTGAGAACCTTGACAGACATCCTGTTTTCCCTGCTGTGGAACTGTGACCCAAAATCAAAGGTATTTTTTATTATTTTATTCATTTAGCTGACGCTTTTTATCCAAAGCGACTTATTATTGCTGTACATGTCAGAGCTCGCACGCCTCTGGAGCACCTAGGGGTTAAGTGTCTTGCTCAGGGACACATCGGTGGATCTGTCACAGTGGGGGACTAAACCCGTGTCTCTCACATTATAGGCATGTGTCTTATCCACTGCTCCATCACCACCCTAAAGGTATAAAGGTAAAGGTACTTTATTTGTCACATACACATAGCAAAATTCATCCTCTGCATTCAACCCTGAAGGGAGCAGTGGGAAGCCACTGTACAGCGCCAGGGGACCAACTCCAGATTGCCATGCATTGCCAGGTTGACTGAGCCAACGGCACTGACTGGAGAACCTACCTAACATGTGTTTGATGGAACACCCCGGAGAAAACCCACGCAGACGCGGGGAGAACGTGCAAACTCCACACAGTTCGAACCCAGGACCTTGTTGCTTTGAGCCTACAGTGCTATCCACTAGGCCACCGTGCTTGTATATATTTAACTACAAATTTTGTGTACCATTAAACCCCTACTAACGACCTTAGACCTAAAACAAATAATTTAAATAACACCTCTATGACACTGAACATTATAGGAACCATAAAAGCTGACTTTATGACAGACCTGTTGCCTTGGATTGCATTAGACTGTTCAGGTGTACCTAAAAAAGTGAATACAGTATCATTCTTACTGTAAATCTTTTCGACAGTAATCCAGCACAATGTATCTGAGGCTATTGTAGTTCTGTTTGACATATTTGTTGTGATGTGAGCAGAGATTATTGGCTTAGTTCTGGAACACAGGGTAAGTAAGTTAATTTGTCATGCTGCAGCTAATGATTATTGCAGAATTATCTCCAGCAGGCGAAACCTCGTGGGGATCATGCGTTTGGTTGCGTGTGTGTACCTGCCCTCCGCTAATCTCACATACTACCGGACTCATCAACCTAATATTGTTTGTGCACATGTCTGACTGTATGCTAGTCAGTTGGGGGCCACATTTTGGCCTTTATTGTGGTTCAAAATACGACATCCATAGAACAGTTCTCATCTTGAATCTGAGCTTCTGCAGATAAATTCAGTCCCCGATATGTAATAATGCACTAGTTAGGTGATACGAAATGAATAAATCAGAGTTCCTTTTAAGCTTCACCGCCATCTTTCCTGTAAGGATAGCCTGGACGGACAACTGAGCCAACTCTTTTGTTTGGAAGAGGAGCTGGATGTAGGGAGGGCTTTTATTTTGCATGATGTGTTACAACAAAATGTTCTAAATATATATGAATGTTTAAATTCAGAAGTTTCGACATGGAACTCTGTTTTTTTTAAATACAGTTAGGTGAACCCAGCACGCTCGGTTACAATACCCTTATACTAAGACTACAGTATACTTTACAAAAACATTTATTAAAACTTTGCCTACATTTTTATAAGAAAACTACATATTTTTTCTTTTTTTGATAACAGTTGTAATAACATAAAATAAAGTAAAATAAAATAAAAGGGAGACTTAGAAAGACCAAACCTATTAGGGATTAACAAGGACAGAAGTGGGAACATAGTAAGAAAGACATAGGGTAATGACAGAGGGCTAGGGAGGTAAGGATGTAGGATACAAGTTAACTGTACTTGTGGATGGAGGAGCTATGTGGTGAAAGATTATTGCAGGGAAGCAACTTACACTATACCTAACGAACAAACGTTGTGATTAATCAATAAATAATGTATAAATGTTGAATATAATGCCAAATCAGATGTTACCAAAGACCAAACTGATTTGTTAATCTCTAATAAAAAACACAGATATTCAATTTATGATAACATGAAATGGGTGAGTGCTCTAAATTCTCATATTTGACACTTTTCATTTACATTTTCACACATATTCTGGTTCTTGCATCCTCAGTTTGTCCCTGCTGTAAGACCACAGAGCTGTATAATTCCCTTTGTCTGTAAGCAACAAATAAGTATGGAAATGCTCCCGTTTGCAATTCAGTGCCATCAAATTATTAAGGCAAATGGGCTTTGTATTAACATTTTATGAAAGTTACTCTGGCCTTATTGAAAACAACGTGCCTTTTTCTTGTGACACTAAACAGCGGGTGATGAAAAATGATTTTGTTATTCTCCTGCATTAATTTTGTTTTCTTTTCAACATTAAATACAACCATCTCTGCGTGCATTTGTCTGAGCAGGGCACTTTGCTTTGCAGATTAATGGCAGTAAACACTGTTTTTTTTAATAAATCAACTGCTGTTCCCTATTTGTGCTTTTTAGCATTGACGGCCCTCTCCCAACCAAACACACACACACACACACACACACAGATTCTTGAATTTTCAAACAGAAGGCGTGCAGGCCAGGCGTAATCAGTATTTGGGCAACATGTTTTTCTCTCAAAAGGTGTACTTATAAATCCATTTTTTGTCAAACATCCAAACAGAATGACCTGCTGTCACTCTTTCCTGGTTACAGTTCCCTGCACAGCGACTGTAGTAAAGATGTGTCTATCTACACTAACACCCAGTGTATGTTTCGGTATGTTTTGTCTCAGTGTGTCGGGGTGCAGGTGTGAGGTATGTTAGGTAGGTTATGTCTCACCTGGCTTGCCAGTATACAGAATGTTCTTGGGGATGGTGACTCTGTCCTCAGAGCTGCGGGCCCAGTCCACCATGCCCCTCCAGCCTTTCATAGGGAAGCTGATGTCTGCGTGACCCACCACTGGACGCTTGTGGATGCTCAAAACTGTAAAAGAGAAATAGTGTTGAGTGAAACCTTATATTTACTTCAAATGTATGTACTTTTTAAAAAAATAATTATTATTTTTTTTACATTCTGTTTCTCCATATCTGTAATTCTACTTCTGCATGTCTGTCCATCTCGTAAGAGGGATCTCTCCCTCCTGAGGTGTCCCCTCTATTTCTTCTCTAAAGGTCCTGAACACGAACCTTCTCAGTAAACTTCTTACTATGATTGATGGGTCTCACAAGAACACTTCACTTGGAGTTACTTGCTTATGTTGCCAGGACAAAATCAATCAAAGAGACCACATCACACAGTCCTCAAGAAGCAGAGTTTCGAAAATCTAAACTATTATTACATAGCCATGTTTTTAAACAGAGGGTATATAGACAGACAGTGCCGTATGCTGTAAAGACTGAATTTATTGCTGAAGTTGTTAATGTAGCTGCAAATAATATGAAAAACAGTTTCTCTAAACAATAAGTTGTTGACTTTTATGGGAAATGTGTCTTTTATAATGTCTGTATGGCATAAATTAGCCTGGTAAATGGGCCATAGGGCAAAGATTAGCTGCTGGACTGTCTAAGTGTGTGTTCTAGTCTAGGGTGTAGTCTATTCATGCCAAGGTTCACCTTTAAAGTATAGAAGATCACATTATTGATTCAAATCTCTCTCCTCGGGAAGTTAATAAACAATACGTTTAAATCAAAGAAAAGCTAAATAGTCAAAATAGAAAACAACAAAACAGAAAAATAAAATAAAGTATCTACATAGCAGCCGAGGTGAAAGTCTGGGGAATTCTCGTATCGTATCAACTTGACTACTTTGATGAGTTTGGACGAAGGAACTCTGATCTGACTATATGTAGGCAGAAGATGGATTGTTCCTGTGCGTGGCTTTGCTTATGTTTGAGGTGTGGGAGGGAAGAAGAGGTCAGCCGCCCCAGGGGAGGTAGGCTGCTGGTGTGGGCAGCTGTTTGGCTCCGAACAGCGAGGTGGCACAGCTATAAACAGGACCTCTCATCTGGCCTCAATTCCCACATACTCTCCCTTGACTCTACTCAAACTCTGCCTCGTTTTTATCTGGAGGTCACAGAGAGCAGCAGAGCCTTTGTGATGACTACACTACATTATTTCCCCCCTATTTGAGAAAAAAATCGAGCGTTTACAGTCACTGGGCATCGGAAATAGGCAGCAGGTAGCGCTGAATGTTGACTCCATGAACACATCTAAAGGCATGGTGAGTGCTAATATTTGTCGATCTCTTTATGTAGAGACAGAGGCACAGAAATGCTACAGAAAGAGAGATTCAACTGAAGTAGACATGCCTCGTTTAGTTGAAGCACAGGACTTTACAACAAAGGACGGTGGGCAAATCCCAACCTCCAAAAAATGGAGGATCCAATCTGAGGCCAGTCCAGATTATTAGTCCAGACTTTCCCAACCCAGAGCCTCCACTGACTCCAGGCTAGTTTCAGTTTTAATTTCCAACTAAAGACATAAAATAGCACAGATAGGACAAATGTATTCTCTCACCTTCGCCCAATATGGCTTTAGGGCCAAACAGCCACATACTTTGTTAGGGGGTCAGAGATACCATAGAATTATTGATTAATATTTGATATTTAAAAATAGCCTGTCACCGGTTGACCATTTCATCTATATATATTAGTTTAGCCTTCACTTTTTTTGGTGATGGTGATAGCGTTTTGTTAACATATCTTTGTCATTTCTGACATCATTTTGCAATTTCTTGTTACGTCCGACATACACATGAATACTGATTTGTGATAAGATAAAATCAACCGATAATATCAATGAGTCCTGTGTACGGACATATAGCTGGGTAAACTTGAGACTGAAAGCACAGGGAATGTCTGTTAAACCACCAGGTCGCCGTCCCCTGTCTTCCCTTTTATGTTTTGCCATTGTAGTTATGAAGACCGATCTTGTGAGAAAGGAAAGCTGTGATAACAGTATTTGTTTTGATAAGCTTTAAGATAGCTGTGGAGATGTCCTGGATGGAGATAAGGCTGACCTAGGTTATCGGTGACTTCATACATGTCTTGAAAGTCTTTCATCCTCAGGCCAATGACATCGACAAAGTCCTCCACCAGACGGAACAGCTCTTTGATGTTTGGCCCAGCTGAGAAAACAGAGACACATGAAAGTAGAATGAAAGAGAAGGGATTATGGATTTGAGGTGAATATTCTGAACTGCTGTTGAAACGCTTGATGCACAAAAGGCTTTTAATAAAATAGCTGTATTTGTGGCAGACATTGTGATACCATTACCTGTTGTGTCCGGTGCAACCATTTCTCATATTCCCCATAGCCATGACTAACATCATGGTGTATATGCAATTAACTCTAAGGCTCTCACTCAAAGTTTGTTTTTTACTCTGGGGATCCAGCAGAATGAACTACACATAACAAGTGCGGTGGACATTAATAAAGTGAAGACTGCGGTCCTCCACCGTGACAGGATTATTTAACAATAGCGAGTACACACAAGTAGAGGTACAGACAAGACCAACTCTACTCTACTAATGACCAAAATCTACTAATATCCAATCACTAATGAATTGTCCCTAATTTCGATCCAAAACTATGTGTTTTGGTACACTAAAGGTCAACCACTCTAGTTCTCTCCAATTTTGAAAGGATATGCCCCTCCCGACTCTTGACAGAAAAATATATAATCTGTGTATAATTTGTGACCTACACCACGTCCTCAAAGTGTAAGATACTGCAAACACCATGTTGACAGATGAAATTCAGGTTTTAGCTACAGTCACATCTCTGGTTGTCATCCAATAAATATGCAGCTATATTTACATCCATAATTTTTATTTGGAGTACTGCTTCAATGTAGGAGAAAAATAAAAGCATTTTGTAATATGGGAATAATAATAATAATAATAATAATAATCTCTTTTCAGGACACTCAACGACACTTTACA